TGTCCTCTATGGTACCTCAGGATTGAAAGTAGAGGACGGCCTATCAAAAAATGTCCGGGGTAAGACAATCATATTCAGGCTGGTCAGGTGAATGTTGTACCAAGGGACGGGAGTTTTATAATGGCCTCTATACGACACAGCATCGTGCACAATTCTTCAAGGGAGAAGGTATGTTCCCCCATAATGCGGACCATTAAATGTTTGGCCGACTCACGGCTGCCTCCCATAATCCCCCAAAATGGGGCGCACCAGGTGGGTTGAAGTGCCACGTACAATGAAACCGGGAAGCGAGACCGTCTTGACAGCCTGGTGCGTTGACAAGCGCCCGCAGCTGATTAGTAGTATTAGTACCACAATCAGTGTAAATATCCGTGGGAAGTCCCCGACGTGCAACAAATCGTTGTAATGCTGCAAGGAATGCGTCTGTCGTTAGATCAGAAACATATTCAAGGTGTACGGCCTTTACCGTGAAACAAACAAATACAGCAATATAAACCTTGAATTGGCGAGCTTTACGTAATCGGTGTTCGGTCATTACAAGAGGGCCAGCGAAGTCAATCCCAACCCGCGAAAACGGGTGACATTCGGACACTCGAGACGTAGGTAGGTCGGACATGATGGGTTGTGGATTGACTGACGCTAAGTGGACGCACGTGATACACTTGCAGAGGACGGACCTAATGAGGGTATTAAGTGACAGTATCCAATAGGTGCGGTTAATGAGTGATGTTAGGATCCTCGGTCCCCCATTGACACTTCGTGCCAGTGGCGAATCAGTTAAGTTGATAAATGCGACAACTTGCCTAATAAAATCGGGTGTTTTTGAGTCTCGGGCAGATCAGCATTTTACAGACGACCTCCTACACAAATGAGTCCGCGCTGATCAATGAAGGGGCGGATGCGAGCCACTGGCTTAGAGCCGATCGGACGGTTGTGTAACAGATCAGAAAACATATTGCCAAACGTGACACGTTGAGCATATTTAGCAACAGCCACAGCGGCATGGTCTAAATCAGCACGAGTTAAAAATGACGATCTGTGTGTCTGGTGCCTACAGACGTGAATAAAACGGTACATGTACAATACAACGCGAAGCATATATATATATTTTCTATAGTTGTTAAAAAGTTGTTTTGTAGTTAAAAATGTATAAAATCTTAACTTTTATCGCTAATGATTGAAAATTTAAAACAAGGTTCCATGTAAATAGGTTATATTATATAAATTACTTTATTTACAATAATATCATCAAATATACTTAGAAATAGCATAGGTCTTCGATCAGAATCGTTTTTCTTATTCAGTGATATTATATAAGTAGTAGGTAATACAAAAAAAAATATTTAAATAGGGGTAACCTATAAGTTATAACTATTTACTCAGTATTTCGTACATGTTCGTTGAGTTAGAAATAATAGTTAACTTGCCCAGTTGTAAATTTTGTAAAAAAGTTGTATAAATTAATTATTTACAATTATAAAAGTTGTATAAAAAATATGTTTTATAAGTCATTAATTACTATATAAGTTTAAAAATAAGTATAAAATTTTTATAAAAATTAAAGGGTTATGAATTAAATTATTGCAAGTCATATCTAAAAGTCAATCATAAGTTATCAATGGTTGAGGTCAAACTTGTCTTCGATGGCCTGCTCGTCGCAAAAACATGGCTAAATCTTCATTACGGTGAAGTGTACCAATATAGTCTCTTATTGTACAGGTAACTTCTGCTCTATCTACCTGAGATAGATGAGATCTGATCTGAAATTATATTTAAAATTATAATTTATTATAATAATAATGTAAAATTTGAAAAACTTTTACCTGGAGATGCCTGCGAGCTTGATCCATTTCCAAATAATATTGATACTCAACTATCAACAGTTTCTCTATAATAACAGGTAAGTCTTCAATTAATACAAATAATTTAAATACACGATTAGCTAGATGGTAATTATACCAAAAACAAATTCTGCCAATCATGTGTCCAAATTAGGAACTTACTACTACTGTTGTAACCCAATACATGTTTTTTTTTTTATTTTTTTTATCCAATCCATGTAATGGATCTGGATCATTTGGATCTTCAAATACAGTGATACTCTTTCCAGGGACAACGTCTAATCGTTTACGTTTTGGTGTTGGATGGTTAGAACTTTTTGAAAAACGACGTTCACTTAATATGTTTTCAAATTCATTTATCCAGGTACAATCATTGTTATCTTTCTCAATTGAAGGCAATCTTTTAATAACTTTGTTAGCATCTAGGGGAAATATACCACAAGCTTCGAATCCAGATTTTAAATTAGTTGATATATTATTATTAATATTTAGTTCATTTATTACATTTTTAAGTACCTAGCCCTGGAAATTGAGTTTTAGGCAAGGTACCAATGTTTTTATTTTTCCAACTTCTTAAGACATCTCTCCACTTTAATTTAAGAGGTCTGAAAAATGCCACATCGAGTGGTTGTGTCAGATGTGTTGTATTAGGGGGAAGAAGAACAAAACTTATACCATTTTCTGCACATGATTTGATTACCTCTTCTGACACATGGCTAGCCAATTTATCACCAATCATGACCTTTTTGTTAGCATTTATAGTCCTGAAATATGGCAAAACTACTTCAAAATACCAGTCTTCAAAGATTTTCATGTCGAACCAACCACTCTTGGATCTGTTGAAACGTGCTTTTGGTGGACCATGGTATGTCCAACTAGGGTACAAATGCTCAGATTTATACACAACATACACTGGCAACATGACACCTGAAGCTGTCCCACTAAACATAACATACGTACTAGCTTTTGAAGAGTCCAATAAATAATCCACATGCTCAGTACCACGTCGACATATAACTTTTACTTTTCCAGGGTCATCGGTAAGGTTGGTTTCATCATAATTGATGATAGCATCTGGGGGTACACCTTCCAAGGTCTGGCTTAACTCATTAAAAAAATGTGTTATTGTTTCAATTGAAATATTTTATCTAGAGCGTTTTATATTCTCAGATAAACGTATGGTTAATGTAGAATTATGACGTTTAAGGAATGATTTTGCCCAGTCAGGTCCTGGCATGTTATTCTTAAACTGTTTTTCAGTTACACCTTTTCTATCTAAATAGTGTTTAACAATCAAACGAACCTCAAAACAAGTTAATGGAAATCCCCATTTACTTGCAGTTATTAATCCTTCAACTAAACTTTTCTCCTCTTCATCTTGAAGAACACATGGTCGACCAACTAAGAGCATATTTTTGTTATTTTTTTTTCTGTTTATGGTAGATTTAGGTACACCATATGCAATGCTAGCTTCACGCTCTGACATTGATTTTGTTTTTACAGCCAAAATTGCTTGTTGTAATTGCTCTTCAGTAAAAGTTGTGTAAGGCCTTCCACCAACTGTTTGAAGTTTTCTACCTCCCATGACTGAAAAGAATAAATTAAACATTTTATAATTATTTTATTTTCTTACACAATAGAAATTGAATTATTAGATATCATAAAAGCACTATTTCGAATCAAAACTCATGTTTCTAAGATTGTATTAGGTACCTAGGTATCTACTTAGAATATAAAAAAATACAAATTTATTGTGTATAAATATTATAATGCCATCGTACAAGGTATGCCCCAAGTTACCCTTAAATCATAAAATTGCTTATAACTCAAAAGATTTTAATGTCATTATGATGTTTCTTATGTAGATTTATACTACACAAGAAAAGAAAAAAAAATGTTACATACATTTAAGTAAAGTGAGACAGAAATAAGGCTTCAGAATGGTTAAGTAATTAGTGTTTTTTTTCAAATACTTATAAATCAAACTTACCTAAAAGTTTTGAACGTTCCACTCACTGATTATGATGTCAAATGTTGTTTAGTTTGAAAATTCTTATCAAACGTGATTACAAAGTGATTACGACCGGTGTAGCTACGATAACAAACAAAAACAACATTTGTGCCCCAAGTTACCCACTTGTCCCAAGTTAGGCACTTCTACGGTATAGGACAAATATTCTTGTAACCACACAACCACATACATACTCTTTAATAACACAGCACAGCCTTCAGAAGTCTTGATAGACACTTAAGCCCCGTTCACAAGATCAAATAATTTGTCAAATATTTGACATATTATTAAATCTTTAATTACATTACCTGTTTAGTATACTCACTCTGTGTCAAATCGGCGATACCCACCATTCACATAGAAATATATAAATACATTGTAATACAAACAAATCAATAGAACAATATTCACAAACATGAATATTATATAGTTTAATTAAATATACGCATGAAATCCCAGATATTGGGGTGTTTTCCAATCTGTGTCTTCAGTGTGGCATAAAAGGACTCAACATAATTGTTAGTTCTAACCTCTGACCTAAGATATATTACAAAAATATATATTATAATTTATATGACAATAATCTGTTTATGTTATTTTTAAGAATTCTAACAAAAAGACACTTATATTTTCAGCGGTTATTTATCTAAACCAAAAATCGTGTATGTAGCCAAATAAAATTCTTGTAGGCGTTCGCGAATTACAGGTTGTTGGTTGACATAATCCACGATTATTTGAAAACCATCTAACATTGTGAAATCACAATTAATTTGGGGCTCAGCAGGAAGACGGGGTAGAGCTAACACCTAAAAATTAAAAACCCAAATCGAATTTAACCAAGTAAGTAAAAATATCAAACTAATTTTAGGCAAATTAAATAATCACAAAATTATTTCATCGTAATAGCATATTACCATGCGTAAAACCATGGCCGCCTCAACACTTGTCTGAAATAGTTGGACTGTTCATGCTTCTTTTGCAGTACCGGATAACTGACTCGCAAAAATGGAACCAACATCCCTGGAGCTTTGTTTGAGGAAAAACAATCCTCACTGCGTTCATCAAACCTCGTTCATAATCTGTTATGATGGTTAACTGGTTGTAGTTCAGAGGTAAAATCTGTTGTACAATTCTAAAAAAGGACTTTTCTATGTGAACTGTGTCATCCTTGTAGTCAATGCATACACCATTGGAAAAGACTAGGTAAAAAAAAAACATATTATCTGTAGATAGAATTAATAGTTAAAAAAAAAAATAACTTACCACATTTCTGAAAACTATATAAAAAGTAAGCAGGTAGCCTTTTTTCAAATCAGGAGGATTTCTCGGCACGGTTTTAAAAGTACCATCTACTCCTGCGATGGTAATTGATTGGAGTAGTTCTCCCCTATATTTGTCGATTGCATCTGTATTAGCAAATACTACACCAACTCGTTCTAAATCTACCATAAATTGACAATCATGTTGAAAAAATCTAAGTAAAATAATAAAGAAATGATAAATAAAACAACAAATATTTGAAATTTATTTCATTAACCTTACAGAAGGACATGTTGATATATATGATGTAGATGTTGTAGGTTCATTCAATATATTTGCTAACTGATCAATAGAGATTGGATTTTTTGGACGACGATGACGTCGCATTTTATTAAGACAAAACCGGGACTGTAAATGTGTGTAGTTTTGTGCACCTTCTGGATTTCTAAGGCAGTTAATGGTGTGCAATTAATACTTTAATCTTATTTATGCTAATAATTACAAAAATTATCTTAAATCTTTTTAAATATATAATGTTATTCCAGAATACTTACAACACAACTTCTCGGTTATAAATTTGTCTGATGGAAGTAGCCAAGTTGCCGGTACTTGTTCCAGCCAGACCAATAGATCTTCTTAAATGGACCATTTGAATGTCAACATTTGGAGGAAAATGTTTGTGTTGAAGCCGAGTCATTATATCATCATTCCCTTTTTTTATATCTGTAGTCCTGACCCAAGCTGTTGATGGACAATGTACAGCAACATTTTTTTGATTTTCACACACTAAATACCTACATAGCAATAAAATAATTAATACTCAGCGGTTGAAGTATTCTACAGAAGATAGAAATAACAAAATGTAATGCGTTAAATGATATTCCAATAGTAATTTGCTTAACAATTTTATTTTAAAATTAGCATGATGAAATAATTATGTTCTTTTAGGATGGTTAAAAATTGTCTAGATATTGGTCTATATGATCTGAAAGGAAATTTATTATTGTTACCATTGGTTGGTATAGGCGATACTAAACTATTTCTGAGTGAGTATGAAACAAAACTTAAATTATAACATGTCTAGCAAATATTATATTTGTTTAATTTTCAGATAATGTAAACCACACACAAGTACAGAGAAATATCTATTACCCCAAATATATTAACGAAACTGTAATGGCGGCTAGAAGTATGAAAGTTGAATTTAACTGTGTGTCAACTCTGACAATTCGTTCAACGGCAACAAAGTATTAGGTAAGTAAAATCATTGAAAATTACTTGAATTGAGTAAAAACATATTGTACAAATCAATATTACTATAAAAAGAGATATGTCCACATTTTATAGTAGGTACCTATTGTTAAAATGTCAAAATATCTTGTATTTTATAAAATGTTTTCAACTGTTTCACAGGCGAATTATCAACAATAATAACTTGTTGAAAGTGGTGAATGGTCTGAAGGAACATATTGGTGAAAACCTATTGATCATATTGAAACAGATAATGAACGATGCATTTAGTCACATGCCAACAAAACTGTGGCTATAAGATGATTAGTTGACTTATGTAATTATATAATCTGTGTTTATAACATCTGTTCAGTCTTACTCACGTTTTATCATTCCTTCCACAATTTTTATAATATCTATAGTGCAGGTTATCCATAATGACCATAGAATTTAACCTAACACCAGGTAAAACTATAAATGTTTCAGCTCACTGACGCTGGATATTTGCAATTTGACCTGGTATATAAATAATATATTAATATATTAAAATAATATATATTCTTATAAATAAATCTTTATCAAATGTTTTTATAATTTAATTGTAATCTTAAGTATCTAAACTGTCTTTAAGAATATAACTCATTGCCAAATTGTTGTTCAGTATGCTTGTACTTGCATTTGTATTATTTTATAAAATCCCACACAACTAACAACATAATATTCTATAATTCATATAAAATACCATCGTTATCCTCTTCAAAATCATCATGATCTTCCTCTTCATCAATCACACCTTCTTCTTCCACGTCATCAACAAAAACGTCTAAATCCATCAACTCAAAAATATCTTCATTATCTGAATCGATAAAATAAAAACAATTTTCAATTCATATTATTCAATTAAAAAAAAATTTAAATAATACTTGGTAAATAATCATGGTCGAGTAGTGCGTTGACAGCCATGTTTTTTGAGTTAATTAGGTAATTAGGTCAATTAATTGGGATAAGTGAACTTTAAGCTTTAAAGCACAATTTAAAGCTTTAAGTTTATTGATAAGATATTGATTAAGGAAACGAATAAATAAAAAATGTATTTTAACACAGGCTGTCACACAAACTGATAAAAAATTATTATTTGGAGTATTTACTTTTGTTTTGGTTGGTATGAGGTACTAATTGATAAGCTCGTTTTTCTTTTTCTTATCATTTTTAAGAGAACGGCTTTCGGCCCGATCCGCAACGAACCTATCCCACACATCAACTATTTCGGTGAGCAACGGATCGTCCCATGAAATACCAAGTTGCCACACTCGTTGCATCAATTGTTTTGCAAAAAATATCACTGGAGCTAATAGACCGAGCGGGACGAAAATACGGGCGATTAAAGACAGCATGCCCCGTTTAGTTGTGATCAAGCGTTCTGGTTGAACAATATACAAAAACTTGTCGTCACGTTGTGACCACTGAATACCTAAGACCTTTGAACCACCACCGGTATCGTCGTCAAATGACAGCAGGCCACATGCCCTGTCTTCGGGCGGCACTTTATCTAAAATCTCAACGGTGTTGCTTGACCACTTTTTTAAGTTCATTCCTGCTCCTTTTAGTACGCTTATTAAATTAGATTGAAGCGCAACTACTTCATCTACTGTGTCTCACCCCACACAAATATCATCAACATAGGTATTGAACATGCATGACGTGACAGACGGAACAGCATGAGTACGTCGATAACGTCTCGTTGTAGTTTTGGGACCGCGAATAAACATTGATTTAAGGATGTACTTGAGAACGATTGGGTGGACGTGTCAAACACGACACGGATTTTGGCTTGGGGGTCAGAAGACTTGAACACAGCATGGTGAGGTATAAAATATGACCCTTCAGAGGAGTGTAAGAATGCAAAACACTGGTTGTTTTTGTTTAATATATAGTGTTTTTTATTCTTGCATTTTGAAAAGAATTATCATATTTATTTAATTGTGTTACAATATATTCTTTTCGTTTACATATGCTCTGTTGAGCTACAGATATTTTATTTCAGTTCAAAATAATTAATTTATTCAGTTTTGTTTTACAGTATTTTCTATTAACGTACATATGCTCTGTCGAGCTACAGATATGGTTTTTTTAAATGTGTGATGATAAATTACAATATTTAAAGACTCACGTGGACCGTGAAAGTAAGAGACAGAATACGGAGATGTTGTGTCCAATGGCAGCCTACTCTGCTGGTGGTGCTGGATGACAACAATACAAACTGTTCCCTGGCGGTGGCTTGACTCGTCCTCGGGGTACAGGTACTGAACTCTCCTCGTCGACTAGTTCCAACGTGGTTGACGATATTGATATTTATCAATGTGGTATCATGCGTTGGTTGTCGTACGTACCGTCAATACGTCTGCGATACGTGGACGACGACAACAACAACGGTGATACGGCAACGGACTGATATGATTACAGCGGCGCGCTCGTAGTGGCGGCGGCGATAATAATACTACACGCGGCGTGATAACGGCGCTCGGCGTAGCGAAGATAGTAACACGCGGAGGGACGATAATACGAGTCTACCGGCGGTGGCAACGGGGACAGACAACGACTACTGCAACTGGGCACCGGTGGCTTGAACAGTACGTTCTTAGGCGTACCACCACCGATACCTAGCGAGAGTGTTGGGGGGATCTTCCCCTCCGTTTACTGTTAAGTGTGAGTGGCTTGAACAGTACGTTTTGAGGCGTACCACCACTCACACTGCGAGTATAGGGAGAGGGCTTTGCGGGAGAAGGCGGTTTGAAGTTACACACTATTGAAAAAAGGCGGTAAGTTGAAACGGCGTGTTATATATTTGACGGTTTCTTGATTGTCGAATGTCGATACGATGCGATGCGATTCGATGATGCGATCTGATGATTTCATTGACCGTGCTGGCTCATATTTATGCCATGTTTGCACTACGGGTGGTGTGTTGTATGGATGAAAGTAGGTAGTTGCTTTTATTATGTTTCTGTATGTTGTAGACTCTCTACCCCGTGGGCGGCTATATGTAATTAGGGTGCAATCTTCTGGGGAAGACGATGGTTATAACAGTTTTACGGGCTGTCGTGGTTGTTTTCCATAAAGTCACTGGAAGTGTTGACGGTCGGAAAACCTGCGTGACGGCGCGCACTCTATGCGGCGTCATTGCGTCATTGGTTTTCTGGATGTAATTCGTGTTTTCTTCTTAATGCAACTTCTTTGGTAATTCTTTATATGTTTGTTGTGTTAAGAGCGTTGTGTAGCTTTAACTTATATCGTTCACTGTGCTTAAATAAGTCGTTACAGTGAAAAGTTGGTAGCATGAATAGGTATTCCTGTCGGGACGGCGGCGCGCGTTAATAGTTTTGGTTCGCGCGTTGGCGCGTACACAGATGGCGACACATGTTTCGTTATGATTAATTATAATGGCAATTCTGCATCGTTACAGGAGGCCGGGGACATGTGTCCTAAAGACAAGTATTCATCCATGAACTGACAATACGCCTCACGAAGACGACTGTCTGACATGAGCTTACGCTCGAGGGACTCAAAACGTATGAGAGCGACAGAGCGTGATCCAGAAAAGGTGTTATCCGCAACTGACAACAACAGGGGTACTACATAACGCCCGGATTCATCGCGTGAACATTTCTCACGGAACGTCGCTTCACAACGTCCGTGATACGTGAAAGTTTAGGGGGCAGTTTCTGGTTCCTCAACTTCCCAAAACCTATCCATTAAACATTCAATTGATGACACCATTGAGATGCAATGTGAAGTGGGAACATAACTATTCGATAGTGGGACGGGGCCAATTATTATCCAGCCGAATACGGAACCGAAAGCCACGGGGTACGAGTCATCCACGAACACCCGTTTACCATTTAGGATAAATAAGTCTGCACCGAGCAGTAAATCCACCTTACTGGGTGCGGCAAATTAGGGATCGGCTAGGGCTAGATTTTTGTACTTATCTGCAACCTGATTGGATATCGACTGGCTGGGCATTTGAGCTGTGATTGTAGGGAGCACCCAGGCTGAAAACTTAATGACTGGATTGTTTGAAAATCTGGGCCGAATATCGCAGGTAACCAATCCCTGAACATTTGGTACCGACATACCGGATAGACCAGATAGAGGGGCTGTCCAACGTGTTACCCGTAATCCTAACTGGGAGGAGCAATCAGCGGTGATCGCGCTTATCTGTGAAGCGGAGTCGACCAAGGCACGCACAGTATGCAACACACCACTACAATCACGAATGTGGACTAAAACGGTCCCTAAAATGACCGATGATGACTGCTGAGAACCACTACCAACACAAGACGATGGAGCTGGGGATTCTTCGCTGGACAATTGATTGTCGGATGTTGGACCTTGACTCCCCCCCTAGTGACCATGGTG